AACATTAGAGAGAATTTTTGTGTCAAATGCATTGAAATGAAAGACGAGTATATTGAGAAATAAATATGAATTAATAAAATAACAAAAAATAAATTGTTACATCTTTCTAAATATTTATTGATTAGCAATCGCACTATTCTCTATAAAAGTTATAACCTAAACCTAACCTAAAATTATAGGTTAGGTTTAACAGTTATTTAAAAGTAAACGATAAGATCTTTACATGTTATATCATGTAAAGTTTTGTATGTTATTAATATAAACACTATTATAGTTCTTATCAATCCAGAGTGAAAAATCTATAAAAACCGATCATGAATGGTTCCGTGACTTTATTTCACTTTTACTCGATTGCTGTAAAACGTTTAATATGATTACTCTAAAAACATGTTATTTGTTAATAACAATTTGTAAGTTTTAATTATTAAGAAATTAAAAAAAAACCTACTAAGTATTTATTTAATTAAATAGCTTCCTTAGGTTTTGCTGATGTCTTGAAATATTATTTATACACCAGGGATACTGTAGATCATCCAGAGGAATTATTTCTCAATGATGAAAACTCAGTCAGACGTTCAAAGTTCGATTCGAACTTACAAACCAAGTAAGTACAGTTTTAACATTTCACACACATAAATTTGTATAAAAAATATATTTTTAATTTAGAATAGTAATACATGGATGGTTTAATAATTATAAAGACGAACCAAATCCTAACGTTCGAAATGCGTATTTTCCTAAAGGAAAGTATAATATAATAGCGGTTGACTGGGGACGTTATGCCAAAAATGCTTACCCTGTATCATACCCTCACGTACCGGCACTAAGTCAAATTTTAGCGGATTTCTTAGAGTTTCTTCATAAAAAATTTCGCTTGGATTATAATAAAACAGTGTTAATTGGACATAGTGTGGGCGCACATATCGCAGGCTTGTGTGGTAAATTAATTAAGAGTGATAAACTAGCAGCAATAGTGGGATTAGATCCGGCAAATTTATTTTTTGAAAATCAACCACCGACAAAACGTTTGGCAGCTACTGATGCACGTTATGTACTAACAGTACACACGGGTACCGACACATATGGTTTTTTAAATCCAATTGGAAAAGCATCATTTTATCCAAATTGGGGCTCAAAGCAGCCAGGATGTGGTGTAGAAGCTATGGGGTTCTGTTCACATTCACGAAGTGTTAAATTCTATGAAAGAGCCGTTAAAGGAAATTTATTAGTACCAATATACAGGTGCGAGAGTTTCAATGAAATTAAGAAGAGAAAAGGATGCAAAACACGTACAAATATAACTCTGGGAGGTCCTTTAGAAACTGAACAAACACAGGGTATATTTTATTTCAAAACAAATGAAACAACTCGATATTTAAATTAAAAAATTAATAATAACAATTTGTGAAATTTAATTTTGAGTTTTGATTTTTCAATGGTCTTAGATTTATTTGGTACTACTTACATTAAGACCGAAAAGTTTTCGGAAATTCTCATTTAAAATTCGCGCGCTGTATATTTTTCGATATTTTAAGTTTATGTAGTTTGGCAGCTGTAACGACACTTTTGGTGACGTTCAAAAATTTTTAGTTTTTTGCTGGGGTATCCTCAGCCGTCGTCCAGAGTCGTGACAATATATTTATAATTTTGCCGAGACGTGGGTTTTAGAAGAAAACAGAACGTGATTTATATGTATAAATTATATATATAACTTTATTATTTCATAAACTTATGATTAACAAAGTTTAATTAAAATTCATTGGAAACATTTCTAATAATAAATAAAAAAAAATTATGTTGATGCCAAAATTTCCCACTTCTCCATATATTCCTTGT